TAGGACGGGACGAAACCATGCAGTGAATGGGGGGAGACAATTTAGCCGGAAATGCAGAAATAAGCCGTAATTTTGTTTTATTTGTAACTCTTTGGTAGATATAATTTATAATTTCTATTACATTACTACTACTACTGTTACTACTAATAAATCAGATCTCTGGGGGCCCCAGAAGTGCGTGGGCCCTTAGAATCGTCCTAACTTCCCCCCCCTAGCGGCACCCCTGCTCATATTATTTTAACATTTTATAGGTTATTTCGTGAAGGAAACCTGTCTGTTACTTCATAAATTCACGCCATTTCGGTCAACTGTCCCTGTGCACGTTGCTCAGGCCAAGCCAAAAATATATTGATAGGAATTTCCTATAAGGTATGATACATATCTCATTGAATTAAATTTTCCGGGAACAACCCTTCAAAAAACAAACAAAAAAAACACTTATGGGATCTATCATTTATAAATACATTTTTCAAATTAAGAACGATGAATTTCGGTGAATAATTGACCTCTGAATGTTTACAAATGTAAAAGGACATGTTTTCTCCATACCTTTATAAAGATATGGTATATATCAAATAGATGTCATTACATTCAATTTCAACATTCCAATTAAATATATTTACACTGTACTAGCAGCTATGCAAAATACATTTACAGCTTAAAGTCAAGTCTGTATATTTAATATAGGCTATTTTTTTCATTTCAGTGAATTGTTGAATGCATTCATCAACTGAATAAAATAAAAAAATGAATGTACAAGTCAAGACCATAATTGGAAGTCCCCCTCCAGACAAATAATCATAAGACCACATGTACATCCTAAACTTTATTGGACTGTTTTAATAAAACTTTTTTAAAAATATTTTCAGATATAAAGATGAAGACTAAATACTGTAACTGAAGAGGTCAACAGCATCAGATCAGTGTTTATTAAAAAAAACAAAAAAACAAACTGAATATCACATCCAAGTACATGGAAAATGAAACGGGAAGTAACTCAAAACTTGACAATTCGGATAACATAGCAGCAAGTTAAAGCCCATTTTCAAACTCAAAATGTCAAACTGATTGGAAAGGAATCAATGCGAGCTGTGAGAGCAGCTGCGGACTCTTCCATGAAATCGGGTTGACAATGACGCTTTACAACACTGAGACCTTAAAACACAGCCAACATGAACTCAAAACCTTCATGTAGAGTAAAACCAAACAAAGATTTCAAACTGCAGGTTCTATGAAACCGTTTGAATCTCTCATCACCTGCGGCCCTCAAGTTCAATCTGCTCCAAGGCTGAGTCGATGGCCTGAGTGGTGTTTTGAACCAAAAATTGCGTTGAAGTTGGCAATGAAGCTCTTGCTGCATTGTTACAGTACAGGGATGGAGATGTGGCATCCGACCAGCAATCGCCAGTCGACCGTCAGAACGCTTAGAATGCATGAAACACATGTAGAGAGTGAAAATGAAGGTAAAACAGAGGAGATGCAGTATTTCACTCTCCCTTTGTGACCAAATCTTCAATGTAGGCATCCAGCTCATCGTCATTGCTGATCTCAATGTCCTGTGGAACAAAATAAACATGAACAAAGGAATCCATGTGAAATTTCTAAAAAAAAGAAAAACATTCTTTTTCCGTTGATAATTCTAAACAGTCATTTAGAGTAGTGCTGTCAAACAATAAAAAAAAAAAAAAAAAATGTTTTTGTTCACAAAATATGTGTGTACTGTGTATATTTATTATGCATATATAAACACACATGTATATTTGACAAATATTTACATGTATATTTATATTCAAATATAATTTATACTATATATAAATATTAATATTTTATATATGAATCATTTTTCGTAAATATATACATGCATGTGTGTGTATTTATATGTACATCATAAATATACACAGTACATATTATGTAAACAAAATCTTGGATGCGATTAATTGGGATTAATCATTTGACAGCACTAATTTAAACTCATTAATTCTCCTTAACACAAAATCAAAACAAATAG